AATCTCACTATTGGTATTATAGTCTATGTTGTCGATATGATTACATTCTTTCCAAAGGCTTGAGACCTAACAATTTGAGAGCATTACCCAGTGTTATTCGCGTTGCCCAAAACATTAATAATCTGGCCTCTGCCAGTTGCGATTCTACCCCCATAACCCATAAAGATTCTACAGCCACTGAAACGACGTGGCTTAGTTTCATTGCATACGTTAAAACAGTGCACGGTTCCAGTGTGTATAGAGCAGATTTGACTACATCCGGGTATTGAGCAATCATACTTATGAGTTCGATCGCAGGTTTTTCATTCAATAGGTCGAAATTTATCGAAGGTTTTACTACAAGTCCAGAATTACGCTCAATTGAACACAAACGCGCGTGAGCGTACTGAAGGTATGGACCAGTGTCTCCTGTTGTAAAAAACATTTTACATTAACCATGGTATTTATGATGGAAAATCGTTGCCATCAGTTTTTATGGATCGTACCTTCAAACGAAAACATTCGATTCCAATCAAATTCATAATTCCGAATTCTATACAATGGGGATAATTCTCAGTGTTTGCTTTGTAAATTGTATGTAGCAAAATTTGGTTTATACCTTTTAGCCGACATGTCCTGAACCATCACAGCCGAAATACCAATTACATCCGACACATATTCTGGATTACCTATCTGTGAATATTTTTTTTCATTCTGTCTCATCACTTCGTGCATACTTTCCTTGGTTTGATCGAGAATTTCATCCAAGAAAACAGCTGTTCCTTTGCGAGTACTCATCCCCTTGACCATACCAAAATTTATATGCTTGCATCGATCTACCCACTCTATTTCCATTAATTCCAAAATTTTGAATAGCTGTTTAAAATGTAGATCTTGCTGACTAGCCACCACATAATACATCGCATCAAATTTATACTTTTCATATCGTTCCATAGCGGCACCAATATCACGCGTGATATATAGTGTAGTGCCATCATTCTTTTGAACTAGCGCAACATCTAATTTGTATTTTTTCAAGTCGACAATCAATGCTCCTTCAGACTCCTTAACAATATTTTTCTCCTTGAGTATATCCAATCCACGCATCATTTTATCATTACTTATTTGGGATTCACCAGAATAAACATCAAAATCGATGTTTAGACGTGCATAAGTTTCCTTATATTTCTCTATACTAAGATTTCTAAACTTATTCCATAAAGCAAGTGCCTCTTCATCACCTAAAAAGTTATTACCGGTTAATAAAAGCACATATACTGAGACTTAGAATGCGGCTATATACCATCTTCCATTTTCTTGAAGTATGCACGCGCCTGATCATCTATAGTGGCATCCTTCTCGATTTCGGCCTACACGTGACCATATATAATTTAGAATCTCAGACTGTCAATAGAGACGCCAAAAGAAGACCTACATTAGTTTTCACGTAAATATCGTATAAATGTTTAATAGGATTCTTAAGCAACTCCTCCTCAGATCCATATTTCTCAAATCCAACTGCCAATAGACCTAATTAAGAAATGACCCGTAGAAAAAAAATGGTATTAGAAATTAATAATCAAAGTTTATCAGACATTAAGGCTTACCATATTGTTTGCCCCAATCACCAAGGTAATTCAATCCAATAGTTTTCCAACCATTGGCGGCATGTACATTCTTGACAAAATTACCAATTATCGTACTACGCAAGTGACCAGCGTGAAAAGGTTTAGCTATGTTCGGGCTGCTATAGTCGATAACACATGTTTTACCCTCTCCTGACTTATTAGTACCATAGATTTCTTTTTTTTCGTATATATGCGTGAGAAGCGATTTTGTAAGTAGAGGGTGAGAATATCGGAAATTCAAATAATGATCGACTTGTGATGAGTCAATTATATATTCATTAGGTACAAACTGTGAATAATTAAAAATGAGTAATAATGAAATTTAGAATCGGATGGTGACAATATAAATTTTCCCAAATCAAATTTTACTCACTTTCTTGACCAATTGTTGAGCTAATTGAACCGGGTTTTCTTTAATTCGAAGTCTGGGCACAGCGATAGTGATATCACCAAGTTCAGGGTTTCTAGGAAGTTCCAGTAAACCGAAAATTTCATCGGCCGATTTCCCAGTATATTCAGCAATCATTGATGCCACAATTCCTCGAAATGG